GGGACAGGCAGGGGCGAGGCCAGTCCTGCAGGAGGCTGTGGGTGGCAGGCAGGGGTGGGATCCATGAGGCCCCAGAGGACCCGGGAAGGTACCAGCTTTTGGTCGCCTATGACTGGGGGGCATCGCCCTTTTATTAAGATATATATTATTATTGATTTCAGAGAGCGGGGGGAGAGAGAGAGAGAGAGAGAGAGAGAAACATCAATGAGGAGAGAGAATCATGGATCAGCTGCCTCCTGCACACCCCCTACTGGGGATGGAGCTCACAACCTGGGCCTGTGCCCTGACCTCCTGGTTCATAGGTTGATGCTCAACCACTGAGCCCCGCCGGCCGGGCGTGCCAAGGGTCTTGAAGTGTCCCACGGAGGGGCTCCACGTGGCGTGGCTGGGGCACTGGTGCCGGGAGAAGCCCGAGGCAGTGGGCCTGCCTCAGGAGGGGCTCAGCCTGGCTCCTTCCAGCCCGAGTCCCTCCTGGGGAATGTCTGCGGAGGCTGCCGGAGGAGGACCCAGAACCGGCCCGGTGGCACCCCTAGGGGCCCCGCTCCCACGTGCCCAGAGCAGCACTCACGGGGCAGTGAGCAGGGACGCCACCAGGGCCGGGCAAGCACCTCTCTGCCGCCTCCCCAGCTAAACCTTCTAATTGACTCCAGAGACAAGTAAACAGGTTCATTAGCCTAAAGGTCTCCAGTGCCAATTAGCACCAGGGTTTCCTCTTTGAAGGCATCCCCCGTCCTTTTCTCAAAGGACATCAAATGGCAGCCCAGGGTGAGGGGTGTGGTGAGAGGGGCAACAGGCAGTCGGCAGAGCCAGCAGCGTCGGGGGCCCGGCCGCTTCTCGCTGGGTGGGGAGCAGCCATTTTTTCGCGGGTCACGACGCCAGGAAGAGCAGCTTCCTGATTGCTGAGTCCGGGGCTTTTTACGATTTACTAAACACGGATCCAAAAAAAGGCTTAAGTTGGATCCTCACTGTGTCCAGCTGTGTGACCCTGAACAAGGCGCTGAGCCTCTCTGAGCCTCTCCCCCCCCCCTCCGGGGGGGGGGGGGGGGGGTGCGATGCCAACGGGGTAGCAGGTGGGAACGGGCTCTGTGCAAGGACTGTCGCCGTAGGCCCAGGACATCGGGCCCAGCACAGCAAGAGTCCCCCGAATTCCACCAACTCGGAGTCCCTGCCGCAAGCGAGAGCCTGGAGGGTGTGTGGGGGGGACGGATACACAGGCAGAAGCTGTACAGTCCCCGCCCACAAGCCGCCTCTCAGAACAGACCCCTGCCCGACGCACCCCGAGGCCTCCTGCTCCTGCTCCTGCTGCGCTTCCCTGCAGGCCCGGCCCGCAGGCTCCCGACCTGCCCCAGGCCTGGTATCCAATCAGGGCTTGACTGTGGCTTCCCGTGCTATAGGGTCTGGCCTTCTAGGGAAACCCAGGGACAGCGACTGCTGCCGGCGGGGCCATTGGGGGGGGGGGGTGCTTGCGGGGAGGCGGCGCACAGGGAGGCGGTCGAAGTCAGAAAGTCGAGATATTGGCCCTGGCCTAATTGGCTCAGTGGATAGCGCGTCGGCCTGTAAACAGAGGGTCCCAGGTTCGATTCCAGTCAAGGGCACATACCTCGGTTGCAGGCTGCTCCCCGGCCCGGGGCGTTGGTCAGGGCACATGTAGGAGGCAACCCATCGACGTGCCCAAGGCCACACAGTGGCCGGGCCGGGCCGGACCCCCGGCTCCCCGGGCCTCCTTCCTCGGGCATTTGTCTTGGGCCTCCGCCTGCAGAATGCTGAGCACGGGGACCGGTTCGTTTTGAGACGGAGGGAGAAAATTAAAAATAAAACGCGTGCCGGGTGTGTCTTGCTGCTCGTTCACTTAGCTGCTTCTCAGCTAAAAGGAGAGTCGGGCCTGGCTATTTATAACTAACCCAGATCTGCAACAGCGTGTTCAAGTGTGTGTGTGGGGGGGGGTGCAGAGACCCCGGGGAAACAAACTGGAGGGGCCCAGCTGGCCCCCCACTGCCTGAGAATGGGCCGGCAGGGGGTGGGGGACAGACAGGTGGGACACGAAGCCACGTCCGCCAGCAGGGGACCATCGCCAGAGGCCCGTAGGCCACAAGCCACCACCGCCCGCCCCTGGGGGAGTGGGGAGACAGGGGGAGCGTCCGCGAGGACCTGTCCTTACAGCACAGGTTGCCACGTGTGTAGATGAGGAATTCCAGGGTCCGGGGGCCTGGATGGGCAGGGAGAGAGGCCCGGGGAGCTGGGCCTCAGGGGGCGGAAGGGTGAGGGCACGAGCCCTGGTTCAGCCTGGCTGGGTGCGTTCGGCGGCTGATGAGCCAGAAAGCTCCGCCGGGATTGAGGGTCACCACGTCCACAGGTGGACCCCCACTTCGGTTGTGGTTTGGGCATTTCCTGGGGGAGGGGTTCCCGCCGCCCCCGCGGGCTCTCCTCAGCCCGCTGCCCCTGCTGGGTTGGCGAGATGCCGCCAGGTGGGTTCGCCACCAGGGCCCTACCCCTCTTCCCACCACAGAGCCCCAGATGTTGTCTCTGGTCCTGTTGTCCTGGCCAGTAAGGACTCAAAACGGAGCGCTGGCCCTGCCTGGGGACCGCACAACTGTGCCAGGCACCCACCTCGACTCACAGTGACTCGCCCGTCCAGCTTTCGCCTTGTATGACCCCCCTGCCCCGAACTCCTGGCACACCGACCCCCACCCCTGTGCCTGCCGTGGCTCGCAGGGACCCTTCTCCGTCCTCGGCTTACTCAGCCTCGCTCCCCAAGGCACGGGACATGGCTCCCCATGTCTTCCTTCTCGAGACACGCCCTGCCCAGGGCTCTGGGGCCCTCCATGCCCTGTTTCCTGGCCACCTCTCCAGCTGCTCCTCCATCCGCATAGCCAGCGCCACCCCTTCCTCCGGCACCTCCTACAGCCCCCTGACGTCTCTGCTTTATTTTCTCGGGACTGACTACTTGTCATCTTTGTCATCTGGTTCTGCATGTTAGGACAACTCATACGGTGGGAGCATGCCTACTGTAAATGTAAAACAAAATATTGTCTTCCTCCCTCTCAAATTTAAAAAAACTAACCAGAGCCCGGCTGGCATAGCTCGGTGGTTGAGCATCGATCCATGAACCAGGAGGTCAGTGCACAGGCCCGGGTTGCGGGCTCGATCCTCAGTGTGGGGTGTGCAGGAGATCAATGATTCTCTCTCCTCATTGATGCATCTCTCTCTCCCTCTCCCTTCCTCTCTGAAATCATATATATATATATATTAACTAACCTTAAAACTCTCCAGGGGGTCTCAGGCCAATGTCCCCAATTCTCCACACGGGCCACCCTCCTGGCATGACTGTGCCAGCCCCGCCGCAGCCTAGTGTTAGCACATCCTCACACTCACTGGTCCCCTCTGGGGTCCCCCAGGCCTCACGCCCCTCCACGCCCAGTGCCTTCCCCACCTTGGAACATGCCTCTCTCCTGCCCCCAGTCACGGGCCACTGCCCCTCCTGCTGTCCCACTGCCCAGTGCTTCCCCGGCCACAGGCCCCCAGGCCCCTGCTGGGTCTTCGCTATCAAGCCCCGAACAACTGTCATGGTGGATTATGTCCTGCTGTCCGCCTCTGCCCCGCAGACAGGGGGGTCTAGCAGGCAGGGCTGGGTCTGTCAAAACCCTAGACCTGTGCCTTGACCTGTGCCTGGTGCAGAGGAGGTCATCGATAAGGGCTGCCGTGTGAAGGAATTCCACCGCAGAGGAATCACACCACAGAGGGCACGGGATGATGCTGATGCCACGGTCGGTGTCCAGCGGGCAGAGCCAGATGCCCGCCTCTGTCTCCCGGCCACAGACCTGGGCTGGGGCCAACACCCCATCTACCTCTGCCAGCGGTCAGCGCCAGTGCTCCCATGCCCACGAGTGCGTGCTCCTTGTAATATGGCCATGACGGCGTAAACGTAAAGCGACAAGGTCAGAGTTGGCTGGCAGCGCCTGCACTTCACCAGCGATGCTCTAGGAGGGACAAAGCTCCGCGTTGGGATGGAGAAGACAGCATTTAAGCACAGGAGTGGGCGGGGGACGGACTCCTGGCGCTGAGGCCCACAGATGGGCTCTCGGACACTGAACACAGAACTGGGCAGGCTGCCCTCGGGGGCATTTTGCTGAGCAGCACCCCATGCCTTCTGCACGGGGACCCCGGCCCTCACTGGGCTGGCTCCCTCCCACCGCTCTGGG